GAGAGAGGCGGAGGCCATCTCTTCCCAGCAGCTCGCTGCCTCTCTCGCCAAAGAGCGGGCGGTGGTCATGAAAGCCAAAGCCTTCCCGACGACACCGGCGCCGCAGTCTTTGGTTGACCACGTGGATCCTCCTCTCCCTCCTCGGCCCATAGCCTGAGACTGGGAGGATCGACGAGGACACCACCTGTGCCCCCAGAGCCTTGAGCCCCGCTCCCAAATCCCTGTAGCGCCTCATGACCCGGCTGGGAGCGCTCCGAGCAGTGTCTCCGGTGCCCACATGAATAAGGAGCATGGGATAGCGGTCTGTGGGTATACACACAAAATATGGACACATATACTCATATACACACAAAACATACACATTTATAAGCACAGACATACACACAGATACACACACACACATACAAACACACAAATGCAGACATATACACATGCGTACACTCATACACACATACCCGCAAATGCATACACACATAATATACACACAGATACACACACACACATACAAACACACAAACACATATACACATGTGTACACTCATACACACATACACGCACATGCATATACACATACAGATACACACACACACATACAAACACACAAACATATACACATGCGTACACTCATATACACATACACGCACATGCATATACACACACAGATACACAAATGCAGACATATACACATGCGTACATTCATATACACACATACACGCACATGCATATACACACACAGATACACAAATGCAGACATATACACATGCGTACACTCATACACACACGCGCATGCATATACACACACATAATATACACACAAATACAGACATATACACGTGTACACTCATATACACACACATGCACATGCATATACACACACAGATACACACACACAAATGCAGACATATACACATGCGTACAGTCATATACACATACACGCACATGCATATACACACACAACATACACAAATACAGACATATACACATGCATACTCATATACACACATACATGCACATGCATATACACACACATAATATACACACACAGATACACACACACAAATACAGACACACATGCATACACTCATATACACACATACACGCACATGCATATACACACATAATATACACACGGAGATACACACACAAATACAGACATACACACACGCACATGCATATACACACACATAATATACACACAAATACAGACATACACACGCGTACACATATACACACGCAATATGCACACACAAATACAGACATTCACACACGTACACATATACACACATACACGCACACAGATACACACACAGATAGACATACACATGCGTACTCATATACACACATACACACACATGCATATACACAGATACACACACACAAACACAAATACAGACATACACATACACGCACATGCATACACACACAATATACACACACAAATACAGACATATACACATGCGTACACTCACACACGCATGCATATACACACACAGATACACACACACAGACATACACATGCGTACACTCATACACACATACACGCACATGCATATACACACATATACACACACAGATACACACAAATGCAGACATACACATGTGTACACTCATATATATACACACATACACACACATGCATATACACACGTAATATACACACAAATACAGACATATACACGTGCGTACACTCATATACACACATAATATACACACACATACAGACATATACACGTGCGTACACATACACACCCACGCACATGCATATACACACATAATATACACACACACATACAGACATATACACATGCGTACACTCATACACACACACATACACACACATGCATATACACACATAATATACACACACACATACAGACATATACACATGCGTACACTCATATACACACATACACGCGCATGCATATACACACACAATATACACACACATTTTGCTAGCTAGTGTGTGTATAAACTGCAATGCAACTATTGCAATGTTATGCTAGCTAATATATACATACATACGCACACACGTACACACACACACACACACTCTCTGAGGAGAAAGAAAATAACTTCATCTTACAACTTAGTGCAAAGCCAAATGAAGGCCTGATTCTCCCCGTCTCTGCACTCCCCATGATCCCATGTACGACAGTCAGCTGCAGGTGACAAAACCTGGCTCCGGGTCTGGCTGTGCAAGTGCTAATAATTTTGAATTATGTTTAAAAAAAGAGAGAGAGACAGAGAGATGTGCATAGCCCAGAGAGACAAGTGCAACCGTGTTCTGTATTTGTGCCATGTTTGTGAGCAGGTCACTTTAAAAAAAGAACAAACAAGTATTGCAACGCCAGAAATCTGACTCAGTTTAGCTTGGCATCTATAAAATAGCTGGGCTTTAAAAAAAAAAATAAAAATAAAAAAAAACTAAACCAAACCCAGCTTTTCTTGCCATTTTCAGAGACATTTTCTCTGGTATTCATGTTGTAAACTGCAGTGTAACTAAATGACAGTAACTTTTAGTCACCGCCGGAAAGTAGGGTAACTGGTTCCCGCAGAACAAGTCTGAGCAGAGAGCACAATGCACTTCTCTTTGTCTGTTCTTTTAAATGGACACTTCCAGGTTCACTAAGAGCCACAGGTTGGCTTTCTTGGGTTACAACCACAGTCTCAGAGAAGTTTTTAAAAAGATACTTGGCTCTACTTCCATTATTTGGTGATTACTTTATTTTTGCAGTTCTCAGCTTTGAGGAAGCAAATGCTAAGTTTCACTTGCATGTATAAAACCATGGAAAAGGATGAATCTGGTGTCACAATATAGCTGTGGGCTATTATGACTTTAATTTTAAAATTGAATTGGAGCAAGTATATTTTTAAAGTGGGAAAGACGTTATTTCCAAACAGAAACAAAACGTTGGTGCTATTTTATTTAATACCTGCACTCATTTCATTCTTTCCTTTCTGCATCCTTTCTTGATTGCAGTAATTCAAAAAATCCTTACAATGAAGTGCTGGCGTATTGCCTCTGCTGAAAAAAGATGACCGAAACACAACCCAAATCTGCTTCCTTTAATGCTGGCCAAGAAACTACATCAACTTTTTTAAGCAAGAGCATTTCAGATCAGTTCCAGTTAAAAATGCTGATTCAGTGCAGACAGGGCTTACAGTTAAGAAAAATCAAATTATTTCTTTCGGCAGTACAAACGTCATTAGCCAGGGTGTTTTAAGAGAGAAAAAAAGCAGCGAGACAGAAAACCTGCAGACAACCAAGGCAGCTATTGTACAAGGATCTTTGTCGGGGGACACAATGCATTTTGACACGAAGGGGACTGTGTATTAAAAGGGCACCGCCGCTGACAGCCGTTTCCCACTGCTTCCAGGTCTTGCATGCCACTGCAGCCAGCTGATTCCCATCATGGCACATGCACCAAGTGTTGTAGGACCAGGTTTGTGCGATCACAGAACCCAGGTGCGGACGTCCTTCTCCAATGGAAATCAGGTAAGTCGCTATGCGCGGTGTGTTTGATTGTACAATAATGTAAAATTTACAGGAGACAAAAATAAAATTTTGTCGCTACATGACATAGCGCAAAGAGCCTCCTCTAGCACTAGTCACATTCGTCACAGAACCACGCTAGATGACCCCTGTTCCCTCCGTACACACGCACGCCTGCGGCATCTTAGATCGCACCTATCTGGTGTGCTGCAGCTCCTCAACTGAATGGGCTTTGGTCCACTGCCTCAGTGCAAGAGCAGTTGCTTGAATTGGGACTCCATTCTTGATGCGAGTCTACTTGTAGCATATTATATTTATACACA